TGTTAGGCACTGATATGTCTCTGCTCACCATAGAGATATACTGTATGTACAGACTAGGAGGCAGTGTTAGGCACTGATATGTCTCTGCTCACCATAGAGATATACTGTATGTACAGACTAGGAGGCAGTGTTAGGCACTGATATGTCTCTGCTCACCATAGAGATATACTGTATGTACAGACTAGGAGGCAGTGTTAGGCACTGATATGTCTCTGCTCACCATAGAGATATACTGTATGTTCCCACACTGATTTCAAGCAAGACGGTAATCATATCATAGTTTGGTTCATTTAACAGTTTGCTTCCACGCCTCCTACAAAAGGTGATTAGGACTGCAGGAAAACATCTTCGGCTACAATCTGCCCTCCCTGCAGGACAACTACAACAGCAGGGTCCTAATGTGTGCTGGAAAGATAATGTGGGACATTTCTCACCCTGCTCATCACCACTTCCAACCCCTCCCTCCTGGCACAAGGACACATAGACTGCCCAGCAGCTTCTTCCCTACAGCAGTATCTCTTCTAAACCAGCACAGCCGCCCGCATCAGCACTAGTGGTATCACACTGCTGCAGTGCACTTTCTTGTGGTATCACACTGCTGCAGTGCACTTTCTTGTGGTATCACACTGCTGCAGTGCACTTTCTTCTCCTGTTTTTCCTGCATTCCTCATGGCATTATTGCTCTTTCTATGGCACTGCACCGTATCTGAATATTTCATGTATATTCTATATTACCTTATGTTGTATGTCTGTGCTCTGTGCCACACACATTGTAACACCTAGAAAAAGCTCCTATGCTTGACACAGCTGACCAATAAAGTGATCATGAGTATAAGTCTGACATTACAGTCGGTCCCTAGAGACAGACCCGTAAGCATGGCTGTTGGCTGACGGTCCCTAGAGACAGACCCGTAAGCATGGCTGTTGGCTGACGGTCCCTAGAGACAGACCCGTAAGCATGGCTGTTGGCTGACGGTCCCTAGGGACAGACCCGTAAGCATGGCTGTTGACTGACCCTGCTCTGATTTGTATGTAGCTTTGGAAGCTTGTGCTAAATAAATTAATCTGAATGTGTGAGTCAGCTACAGTTCTCAGCCCACGTTGGGTTCTCACTTTCGTTTGTTTTTGCGAGGGTGTTACCTTCAGCAGTGGGGCTCTGCAGGGCCGGCATCTCAGCAGCTGTCCCGTGACCACGCTGAGGGCTCGCACCCAGCCTTGCTCACAATCGGGGTGCATGGCGAAGTACAGCAGAACGGCCTCGTAGTCGAGTCGGGGAGGCGAGAGGGTGTGGTCCGCAAACAAAGTGAAGAAAAACTGCACAGGACGAAGCGTGACATTGTGTGTGTGTGAGGGTCAGTGTAAGCACCACTCTACTCTGCCTCCTAGGAGAGAAAGCCTGGCACCATGACCATCTGCTGATTTGCACTTGGAAGAATGTTTCTACACAGTTAGTGGTGCTCACCTTCTTCAGGTTAGCCAAGCGATCGTATGGCAGGGGCTCAGAGGGGTCATCTGGGGATGGCAACCTCCTCTCACTGGGGAACCACAGTTCTGTCTACCGACAGGACCAAACAGCCATTTTCTTTTTCAGTCATTGCAAGACATTTTGAGTGAAGTGGCCCTTTTGCTTACACTACTTCTCTAATTCTAGCATAGCCGATCTTCATTGTCTAAAGTCAGTTGTATCTCACCTGCCCAGACTAGGAATCAACTATATTCATTGCTGTGACTAGAGCATTGAGGTAATTGATCAAGCCCTCAAATCTCATCATAATCACAAAACCCATGAAAGAGCATGTAGTGGGGAAGGAGGCGAACCTGCAGGTATGACTCCTCTGTGACGAAGCCTGTGCCCTGGGGGTCAGCTGCCCGGAACTGGGCAAGAACCTCCAGCAGCTGGGCCTGGGTAGGGACGGGCCAGGGCATGGCTGCACTCAATAGGAACCTGCGCCAGTCCAGCAGCTCCGAGTCCTGGCTCAACGCTGATACCAGGTTCAGGATCTGAAGATGAGCCCAACACTAAGCACTGAGGTTTGGTAATTCTCACCCAAGACCTGGACTTGATTTAAGATTGTAAATTTACACATATTTACATAGTTGACTCAGTGGCCCAGAAATCACTCATGATTCCTCACAGCGGGTCGCATGTCTTTTCTTTTTAAATAAATGGTTCATGACACGTGAACATACAGACATTTAACTTGCCTAGTACAGTACATGTCACAGGTGCAAAAACATATATAGAGCTATTCAGGAGGAGACGCCCTACTGAACGGTGCTCTACCTGAGCTTCTGACAGGCACTTCCAGAGCTTGGGCAAGGTATCACTGCCCATGTGCAGTGAGACAAGCCATCGAAGGATCTCTGAGAACTCCACTGCGCACAGCTGACCTGAGGACATGGGGAGCTTTGCTGTTCAGTGTTACACATCAATACTGCATGCCAGTGTTTCCCAATCTAGTCCTCGGGGACCCACATTCCGGCCACGTTTTTGCTCCCTGCCAGACAGTCCATGTGTTTGCTCCCTCCAAGCTCCCTGCCAGACAGTCCATGTTCTTACTCCCTAAAACCTGGACTGTCTCTGGGTCCCTGAGGACCAGGTTGGGGAAAAAATTATGTTGGCAGTTGTGGAATACAGTAGAAGGCAGGAATTTTAAGTCAATTAGGTAATAAATGGGATTTTGATTCTCTTAGGGCTACAGTAAGCAGTGATTCCTTTCTAAGCCAAAAATGTTCATCTACAGAGATTCACAGATGTTACTTTGGCATAGGGTAGGTAGTCCTAAAGATTTTAGTCAGCACAACAGTTGCATATCCACACACGGACAAAATATTACAAATCCAGAAAGGTACGCTAATGCATCATGGGATGTTTGGTTAATCATCGACCCAAACCAGGTAACTGACATTTTACCAATGACCTGCCACATTCATGGCCACAATGGCATTACATTTTGTCCCCACTTACATTTCCCGATGGTCCTACCTGTTGGGGCAACCTTGTAAAACTGAGTGTGCAGCTCCCTCAACTGGAGGATGGTGAGAGTGCTGTCCTGTGGCAGCTCCCACGGGGGTGGGCGTGGAGGGGGCGCTGGGGGGTCCACCACACGCTTCTCCCTGTCCATGAAGAAGTCGGGGCCCTCCAGGACCAGCTGGTACTTAATCTGAGAGCCAGACTCGATGTGTTGGCCTACCAGTTCCACCAGCTTATCGATACTGGGAGCAGTATGAGTGGAAACCATACCAAGTTAAAAAGCAGCAGCAAAGAATAACTAAATAAAATAAATAATAATGACAAACTTTGTATACTTGCACTTAAAAAGTTACGTGCATCACCTTCCACTGTTACCATATATTTCTGTTTGTGATCTGAGAGCAGGCACTAATTTAGTTAATCGAAACCCTTCACTGCCCCCAAGGAGACCTGACCTACATATCAGTTAATGTAACGGCTCACCCATAATGAGAGCACACTGAAATGCTTCAGGAAACACCCTGTGTAGCCTGTAAGTGCCACTGCGCAGACAGTATCGACGCAGTGAAAAAGTCACCTTGCACGAAGGCAGGTTTCTTGCTAGTTTAATTCTGTTTATGCTCATTTTAACATAACGGTCATGCTAGTCGCTGAGTATAAGAACTACATTCAGTTCATGTTGCCCTGCTCACCTTGTCATCTCTGCCAGGAAGCGGGCACTCAGCTCGTCCCGCATAGCCTGGTAGGTCTCCTGGGCCTGCAGCTGGAGGTCTCGCACCACGGACAGGGCCCGGGCCTGTATCAGCTCGAGGCGTGCTCTCACCCTGCAGTCTGAAACGTGAGGTATTATCGACCTTCGCCCAGAGCTCACATGATTTCAGAGAAGCAGCTTTAACATCCAAACGTTACAGACAGGCCTGGGTAATCCGTGTGGCCATGTGCAGAAGCTGCACTGTCACTTGTCCTGGTTCCAGGCATAATCCCAGTGGCAGCAGAGCTGCATTGGTGAAGCGACACCGACGGCTCTCAGCTACCTTCAACATCAACCGCCATGGCGTGCTCCTGCCGGATTTGGGCCCTCACTGCCCTCCTGCGCATCTCCTCTTCATCTTCCTCCATGGGGGGGCAGGGACTGGGCTCTTGTACTGGAGACTGAGCATCTGGGATGGACAGAGAGGCACAATTTCACTGGAGAAACTACACCTTCAGTGACAACCTGTGGATTGTTGCAGTAAAAATACTGTCAGTGAACTTTATCGAAACATAGCAGGCCAGGGCCATGTGGGATGGCATGATAGCATTTAATGAGAGCCTGATTTACACAGGGGAGGTGCAGATCCAGGCAATTCATTTATTTACTTAGCCAAGAAGTGAGACCCAGCACACCAGCAGCTGTCCATTAGCAAGGTGACTCCAGGCATCAGCAGACACCAGCACACAGACCTGTCTTCCTGCTGCCTTTTTTTTTCTCCTTTATGTTGTGGGAGGTGACAGTGGCCTGGGATTCCCTCTGCTGGTGCTCCCGCTCCATCCGCTGCTGGGTCTCCTCATTCTCCGCAGCCTTCCTGTGCTGAACTTCTACGGCCACCTGCAGAAGTGGAAGACCGACGTGACACGCAGACCGACGTGACACGCAGACCGACGTGACACATAAAGTATAGAGTCCCACAGCCATTTTACCAGGCTGTTGACAGCTGTCAGCGCGGCCTGCCAAATAGAGTCCAAGAGCTTCTCGCTGGGGTGTCCGTCCATCGAGCCCTTCTGCTTCGCCTCTGTTGACGAAGGCCTCCGCGAGATCAGGGGGATTCTGGAAGGGAGTCAGACACTAACATGTCCCGCATGGACAGTGGACAGTAGGGCAGAAATGTGGATGCTTGGTAGTTGCTCTGAAAGAAGGGCGGTTTCTCACATTTGTGTCCTCTTTTCCTCTCCATCCCTTTGTCCAGGGCAGCACCAGTGAGGGGGGGCCGGGAGTGGGTGGGTGGGTACGGAAAAGAGGAAAGATGAACTGAGCTACACATTCGAATGTCAATTAGCAATTAGCAAGCTGTTATTCCCCATGATGTTACTGGCTCCTCCTACTCTGTTGCTGCTGCATTTTTCGCAGTTCTACTATTTGCAGTGATGTCACTGGCTAATACTAGCTGCGAGGTGACACTGGCTCTTTCCTTACTTCTCCGTGTGGACATCTCCTTTGTCCTCAGTGACATCCAGCATGGGGACGTGTGAAAACTGCACCACCGTCTCCGGGAGGATCTGACCCAACATCCCGCTATAATAGTCCCTCAGCAGTAAGATGGTGTCCTGGAACCGGTCCAGCTCCACCTACATGGAAATTCACGGGGAAGTGGTTGAGGTAGTGCAGCTAAAGAGGGCACACCGAGCCACCACCCCCCCAACTATGTGAAGCTGTGTAAACAGGTACAATCACATGTGAGCGAGAACTTTAACAGACGACTGGAAAATATGGGAGGCATCTGTGACCATATAACAGGGGCGACACGATGACAGTGATGGAAAATGTACAGGACAGCAGCCTAGATACCTGCAGACATGATACAGAATTGTGAAGAAAGCGATTTTCTGCATGTTTACAAGGAAAAAGAACCTAAATCGCGAACAATTAAGCAAAACACTTTTGATTCTATCATGAAATTTGTACACTAATGCAATGTTTGCCTGGACACTGAATAAATGGTTTTCCCACCTTCAGCAGCGATATCTGCAATAAAATGCCAGCCTCTCACAGTGCTGTAGGAGGAGTCTGCCCCCCCCCCCCAGGTTGTGCATACCTGCATGAGGGCGGCGTAGTGGTTGATGAGCATAGCCGTGTGGTCATCAATCCAGCCGTCCCCCTCAATGGCTGCCTGTTCTCGTCGGGCCTCCTCCCTGCGCTGGTCACAGATGTCCCAAAGTCGCTCCTTAAGCTCCTACGGGGGGAGGGGGGGGGGGGTCACAGGCATAAACTAAACAAAATAACCCACCAATAAAGGCGGTAAGGTGAATAACGATAAAGAAACTGTGTTACCCAAACAGCTACAGGATCAAATCCCAGCAGCTTTTACAACACTGCAAATATGAAACTGAACCCTAAAGTGCTTGAGCAAATATCCATCTGAATGTGAGTTCTACTAAAAAATAAAATATGGGAGATGCTTTGGATAAATATATTGCTTACATATTCATCACTTCATGCATGTAGCTCTGTGTCTGTACTGTTAATGACTGTCATCACGGTTCTCTCACATCCAGACGGAGGTGAATCTCCGCTTTGGTTTCCCCATCAGATCTCATGTCCCGTGGGATGTTGTTGTACTCCCGCTGCCACTGGACCACAAACTCCTGCTTCAGATCTGGCCTCTTCAGGTACTGTTTGAACTCCTCTCTGGGACCATGGCGCAGACAAGAGTGGCATTGGCAGACATTTTAGAGACGCTGTTCAGTGTCTATGGCCATCGTGCTCACAATTCACTCACCCAGTACAATAACCACGCTGAGGCAGTCAATGAGATCGCACAGCAAAATCCTCCCCACCCCAAATAACAGCACCCTGTCACAACCCTCAACGGTGCCCTTTTCAAGTCCAGTACGATAAAGCACCCAGAACGACAACCATTTCCCAATAATTGCTCTGATTTTCACCAATGGTACAGAGGTGCAGAGCCCCTTAGGTGTCATGATAGTGTCACACACCGCATTCCTGCCCCCTAGTTGCTTGTTTAGTCTTACCTCTTGTTACAGCCCTCGTGTGGACCACCCCTAAATAAACACCCTTTTATTTGATCTCACATCTGCTCCTGCCTCCTTTGTTTCCACGTCGTGACAGATAGAGAAAAATATTATCCCATAGTTATTTGAGCACTCAAGTTACCACAAGCCATTGGGAAGTTGGAAATGTCTTAACGTAAGGTGAGCGAGGCTCCGCAATTACTAAATTCAGATCACAATATACTACCATGAGTGCTCAACTGATTAATTTGAGAGCACAAATTACTAACTCGAGCACACAAATTCCAACTCGAGAGCACAAATGATTAATTCAAGAGCATGAATTACTAATTCGAGAGCATGTATTATTCATTCGAGAACACAAATGACTAACTCGAGAGCACAAATTACTAACTTGACCGAACAAATTATTCATTCGGATAATATTTTTCTCTACTATGACAACTAAGGGGCTGTGTACATGTCACACCCAGCTCCATACGATCCTCGTGGGTGCCACGCCCACCTCGTTACCTCATGTTATTTCCTAATTGTTATCACCTGTTTCCTATTTGATTTTGACTTGTCTTGTGTATTTAGTCCACGTCTGTGTTAGTATCCCCAGTCCGGTCATTGATGTTGTATTGTTGCGTGCTTTGTGCTGCGATTAAACCCCGTGTTCCTGATCCCTGGCTTCCTGCCTATTTGTCTGCGCTCCGGGCGCTTACGCGTCATGACAGAACAGATGTATGTCTTACTGGATGAGTGGTGGTAGTGAAGGCCATCTACCTCTGTGAGCTCTCACCCAGAAAGACAGGAGATTAAGATATCTCTCAACAGGCCAACCAGAAATGGAGGTAAATTCTTTACAGGCCCGTGATGGTTACACATCTCTTACCTGATGTTGAACAGGTGTTGGATGATCTGGCTGCGTTGGGCACGCACGTTCTGCATCACGGTCTTGATGTTGGTCACATATGAAGTACACACATTCTGCCAGTGGGGAGCAAGGTATTCTGGGATTTCCTGGTGAAGGATCACCACAGAAATACATGAGGATGCATTGCTATGTGTCACCAGTGACATAGTCATTCTCACACTGAAGCACAGACATCAGAAATACAAGCCTTCCTTAGCCAAAAACATGGAAAAGGGTTAAAGTTGGGAGCAGTATCATAGGTGCAGTAAGTGTTGGCATATTTTCTCAGTATGCCCCAGGAAAGGTGGAGCCAGTACCTTAGGTAGCGGCTCATCCACATAAGCCACATCTGCAGGCGGGTTAGCTGGAAGCTCAGTGGTGCCGGTGCCCCTGTCATGAGGATCCTCAGGGGCAGACGCTGCTGTGACATCCTCAGCCTGACTCCCTGCTGCATGTCACATGATGAAAATCACACCCCTTTCCTGTTCTACAGCATTTTTTTTTTTATAATTGCATAGGACTGACAGCACAAGTAATAGTTCCTAAATAGTATGTATTATAATGTAATGTGTTAATCCCCCATCTATCCCTTCTTTTCCAGTAACTGTACATCCATTTAGGGATCCACACCTATCCAGGATGGCCTACCTGATCCTGATCCACACCTATCCAGGATGGCCTACCTGATCCTGATCCACACCTATCCAGGATGACCTACCTGATC